TCCCCCCCCTTATTTGGGGACAGTTAACATAGTTTTGGAAACGGAGTGTCTACTCCTGTATACATTTAGCTCAGAGTTACTTTGCTCATATCTGACCAATGAGCTTGCTCATGAAAATGAACTCTAATGGCTTAATGTTTGCTGGATCTGCCTGGAAATGTGTAATAATGGATTTCTTGTTTTTCTGCTTCAACAATAGAGTCAAGGGACAAATTCCTGAGTTGCACTATTTAAAAAAAATAAATAGAAGAGACAGCTGTATGAGTGGGACTGGGGCTGTTGTAGAAGTCAGCTCAAACAATGGGTTGCTCTTAGGTAGATGAAGAGAATGGGCCTCACAAATGGATATTGATCTGTAGCAGCTGGGACTTGAGGAAGGGGTCGGGAGACAAGCGCACATTACTCTTACAGCTGTCCGCCTTTCCATGGCTGACTTTGTTTTGCTGGTAAATTTGTGTTTGTAGTACAAGGCTATATTGTTTTCCACTCATATTTAATGTAGCTATATATGAGTGTGTGGATGATAAAGTTTAATAAGCTATATAGCACCTGGGCAAAAAAAATATTGATATGGCTTCTTGGAATTTCACTGTAGCAGGTAAATTTTCTGAAGTTATATATGCATCCTTCACAGGAGTTAGTGGACAGTTAAAACTCCTGGGGAACAAGCAAAGTTGAAAGTCTGTCTTTTTTTTTTTTTAAAATGGGATTTTTTTATTTGGTTATAGTTGCAGTCTTTTCCATTTGATGCTACTGTTTCATCTCCTATTATGCACCCAGTGCCCAGCATTTTCTCATTGCACTTGAATTATTTTCGTAGAACGAATGTGAAGGGGATCTAGGAAATTCCTACAATTGACTGCGCTTGCAAAAGAAATAGCTGAATTGAGGTGAAATAAATTATTAGGTGAGATGTGCGAGCTGGACAAATGGGAGGGAAGCCTCTTTCTTTGCAAATTGAGATTTGAAACCTTCTGGCAGAATTTGTTACCTTCCAGTTATGATTACTAAAATGTTCCATGATTTGGTATTTCATGGATTTATTGTCAGGAAACTATTGTCTGCTTGGAACAGTTCAAAGAATAACTCCTTTCTGAACTGTTTTTAATGGGAGTCCACTTAAAATATGCTAAAACTATTTGTTGTGTTGTTTTCCCTGAAACATCCCAAAGTGTTCTGAATAATTTTTAAAGCAGTCTTTCTCTCTCTTTTCTTAGAGGGGTTATTCTGAAATCAAGGGAGTGATTGGAACGTAATACTTTCTGGACGCTTGCAGCACTGTTCAAGGCTAGGTTGGCAACGGAGGGTGAGGAGGCTCCATGAGTGCCTGAAAAATGAGTGCAAACTCAGGATAGTTTAGATTTACAAAGCCAAGTCCTGGGCTCACGCCGATCAATGGCAAAGCTCTCACTGGAGCAAGTGTTTGGGGCAGGCTCTGCTGGGGCAGGTGGGAGTGGGCAAGGTGCAGCGGGGCTGCGTGGGAGCAGGGTGAGCAGCAGAGCTCCGGCTGGGTGAACACAAACTGGGAGAGAGGGGAGCTTCAACAAGTGGACGCAGGGCAGGGGGCGAAGGCATATGGGTGTAGGGAGCTGGGTAGGAAGGGAAGAGAAGGAAGAGCTACTGTATGAAGGCCCACAGCAAGGAAGGAAAAGGCAACTAAAATAAACAGATGGCATAGACAGTAAGGGAATAATGGTGGGCAGTGAAACAGATAACAGAAGGCCTTGGGAAGCAGAATTGCAAGGGGAGGAATTGGAAAATATAAAAGGGTCACTCAGGGACAGATTGTTCTAGGGAAAGAAGTGAGGTTAATTGCCCAGTGCTCTGCTATGCTGGGTAGCAAAGCAAATCATCTGTGTGGGTAAAAATAGGAAGGGAGTTGTGTCTCAGCTGCTACTCAGGCTCCCTTTTCCTTGTGCACTTCATGCCAGCGCTATTCAAGGAGGTGTAGATACGGGACTTTGCAGAGAGCACAGTGGGAGCACGAGTTAAGATGTTTTGTCATGATTATGTTGGTCAAGGCATGTGAAATGAGACAAAACTGTTTTGGTCGGGTGGGTTTTGGGGTGTGTGTGTGTGTGTTTGTTGTTTGTTTTTTTGTTTGTTTGTTTTTTGTTGCTTCCCTTTCCCCAAAAATACTGCTAGGTAAGTAGTTCATTAGAGAAAAAGCAGGTGCCATCCAACAAGGCATACAGTGGAGCAAGAAGAGTATCCACAAGCCTACAGAAAATGTGAATGCATGTTAGGTGGGCTAGTAGAGGGGCAAACTTGTTTCAGTGTTTTACATGCAGTACGAACAGGTTGTTCATGGAATGCAAAATGGTTCATGGAAATAGCATGTTGTAACGCAAGAGAACAACAGCAGCAGTGTGCACACTGCAGGCTTACGCTTGCTGTAGATTAACTGTTTCACAAAATAGGAGTGAACCAAAAGCTGGAAGTGTTCAGAGACCCATATGCTAATGTTCCTGTGCTGCCTACTGGTAAGGATAGTAAGATGAGGAGTAACACAATGCAATTTCTTTCCATGTAGTATAAATTTCTTTTTTCATTTCTTCAGGCAAGACAGCAAGCCCAGCTGCGACATCAAATGGCAGAAGACAGCAAAGCAGAATATTCTTCCACTCTACAAAAGTTCAACAGTGAGCAACATGATCATTACTACACACACGTACCAAACATCTTCCAGGTGAGGGTCACTGGCACTGATCTAGAGTAGCTCATAATCTTGTGATAAGAACAGAGGGGTGTATTGCACATTGCCTCAATTCTATGACCCTGTCTTTTACTTTTTGGTGATTTTTGTCTCTGTTAGCAAATTTTATATGCAGTCTGCCAACACAAGAGATGGAGAGCTTGGTAGGATAAATTGTGTCTTTCTCTTAGACTAGATATCAAGTGATCAATAATATATGAGGAAGGTGACATTGAATTGTCATGACAGATTACGATAGTCTTTGGAATCCTCACAATCTTGCTCTGTTATTGTGTCCACGCAGCTGGGGAATGAGAGCATTATTTGCATTGTTGGGGCAGGAGTCAGCTGGGCATTGTTACATCTGTAAAGCCTCACAGCCCTTTATAACCTGTCTTCAAATCAGACTTCACAGATGTTTAAATTTAAACCACAATAATTCTGCAGTAGTGAATGTCAAAGGGTTTAAGCAAGCTTGCTGATGATGTCTTAGGGTGCCTAAAGAAAGACTGTAGAGGAAGAACAAAAAAGCCATCAGATTTATATTGATTGAAGATCTGAGTTTGTGCTTGACTGAACAAAGAGAGATTAATGTAGTAGAAGAGAAGTTCTAAATGACTGTTCCATTGTAATGGGTCATAAGCATCAGAAGTGGAAAATACAACCTCTTTAAGGGAGAAGATGTCACATGCTTATCATCTGATAAGAAATAACTGATATTTGAGTAGCAAATAGGCATTTTCTTACCCATAGCTGGAACTTCTTAGCTAAATGAACCTCCTCTTTTGATTCATGGTATTTCAAACCAATGTCTTGAGATAAATTATCCCTGGCATCAGATATAAAATTCTTGCAATATATTTTCATTTACCAGATCTAGTGTTAAGTGCTTTGATTCGCAGGTGAGCATGCTTAAAGTACTGCAGAAGTATCCTTTTCACTGCCAGTGCACCAGTAAGCTCTAGTGCTTTCTTTTAGATGTTGAAATAACAAGTTGTTTTGCAAATAACTTATGTTGCTTGTAGATCAATCAAGGCAGTGGGGATTTTTAAGTTGACAATGCTCTGTAAGATTCCTGCAGTCTAATGTGAAACAGGCAGTTCTTGTTCATGCCCTTCTGTATCCTGTTATAATCTGTCATAATAGTGTTATGCCACATCCAGTTTCCCTCTGTTGTAAACGAGAGGTCCATGGAATAGGTGCTGGAGATCGTGGCACTGAATCCATTGAGCAACAGGGGGCATATGTTGAGAAGCCCTGGTGTGAACAATACATGATGTATAGGACTGCCTGTAAACCAAAAATTACCTTCTAGGGAAAAGGAGAAGGGGGGACATCAAGACTTTTTTGTTTGCTTGGATTCTGCAGTGGAAGGAAAATAAGATCTTTCACAACATGTGAAGAAAATGAAAGAATTTATTGTTGCAGAAATTGTCTTAAAAGCCTTAGGGGAGCCATCCTTACAAAAGTCTAAAGCTGGGGTTTTGACAAATCAGCATTTTTTAATATAAAAGTTAATTGAAAAATTCCCGGTAATAGTAACAGAGGTTATTTTTAGAATGGCATTTTGATGTTTGAGGGAATAATATCACTTGGTGCCTTCATGAGAACAGCTGTCCTAGTTTGTCTGTTCTTAAAAATATATCTAAACCATAAATTTTAAAGCAGATGATGTACGCTGGGGAGAAAAATTGGTTGAAACTGTGAAGTTAATCTTGATATTTGATCTGAATGAAATGTAATGTCTTAGAAAATACAAGAGATGGAGGAAAGAAGAATCGTGAGGATAGGTGAATCCATGAAGACTTTCGCAGAGGTCGACCGCCAAGTGATCCCTATCATTGGAAAGTGTCTGGATGAAATAACAAAGGCTGCAGAATCAATTGATCACAAGAATGTAAGTGTTGCATTGTTTGGATTGTTGATTGTCATCTTTAGTATTGATCATTTATAAATGGAGACTTAAATCCGGGGTCCAGGCTGCAGCATGAGAGCTTTATAGTCATAGAACTAAAACAAAGAATAGGTTCTTGTCGCGTGCTACTTTGTCTGAGGCAGGATGTGCTCAGATTATTTCCCAAATCTACTTAACACCCAGAAATGCCTCTACTGCCACACTTTTTATTTTTTTTCTCCCTTTTTTAGGAATATTCTCTCCTTTAATTAGGATAAGTACTTTTTGAAATGCTGTAACTGAAAAAATAGGCTTCTGTGTAGAATAAGGAAGATAGTGGACAGAATTCCAGATACCTAATAATCACCAGTTCTTATTCAGATGGGTTCTATGTCTAATCATCAGAAAACTAAATGTTGCAGAAATGTCTTCATTCCAGTTTTATAATAATGGAAGTATTTAAAGTATTGGCTACATAAATTATTGCAAACAACTCTGGCAAAATTTCTGCTTTACTGTAAAATCTTTCTTTGCAGATTTGAGATTTGCTAGCAATCTGTAAAAATGAGCTCTCACAAATCTTGATTTCTGAACATCATTGTAGGAGTAAAAAGAAGCCTTCCTGATAAAAAGGCTGATAAAGAGTTCGGTTGAGCTTCCTGATGTACCGTTAGCACAAGGGCAAATGTGTTTTCTATTTTGTTTTCAGAATGGTCTGCTCCCTTCGTAAATGAAGTCTCTGCTTGCTCTTTGAGCCCTTCTCATGGATCACATTAGTGCTTCAAATACAAACAGCGTGTGTCTTGCTGGCTGTTTGAATTTCCCATACATCTTTTTCACTGGAATCTTTTCTGAGCTATTCAGTGCCCAGAGCCTGGAGAGTGCCGTTAACTGGCAGCATAAGCCTGAGGCTGAAGTTTTGAAATTAATCTACTACTTTCTGCTGGGCAATTGCTCTCACAGAGAGCAGCATAGGAAACCAAGGAATCTGAAAATTAGTCTTTCAGGGTGGGAGAAGGGGGAGTTGGGGCACAGATTCCCATGTTAGAACAATGTACCCTTCTTGAGGTACAGCTTTTGGTGCTGCATGGTGAAATAATGTTGGGGAGATTCATGTCAGCCTGTACTCTGCTTGAATCTTCAAGTGAGTTCTTAGCAAAACACACGCAAGGCTTAAGCTAGGTGTTTGGATCACTGTGAATTTTATATTCAAGTTAGTCTGTCTTGCATACAGATAAGTTAGATTTAACTTAACTGTGGAAAACAGTTATGTCCATAAAGGGTTCTTTTTGCTTCTTAAATATCATCAAGGACTTTTTTCATCTCTGGAACAGTAGTTTCTAACTTTCTCAATTCTAATAAAAGTGATATGCTTGTTCCTGCCCTTCTGCAGGATGCAGGTCCTGTTACTTTATAAGGGTGGCCATAGGTGAACAGAGTAGCAATGTAAAAGCTGTATCTTCTCCATTTCCAAATCATGTACCACTTTTGCCACTAACGCAGAGTGTTACAGCAGACCTTTCCCATCTGACCTCTTAGTGTTCTAAGCAGCAAGTTTGAGCTCTCTTAGGCTACTATCAGGAGAGTTTCTCCTTTTCCTCAAAAGATTCAAACTGAACGTGGTCTCCTTTACTCATCTTTTTCAAGCTTGAAAAACTTTGGATAGGAAAGTCGACTAGATTGGAGCTGTAGTCAACTTTGAAAATGAGGTCAGATTCCAGGAAAGTTGAATGCGAGGACAGCTGGTGATAATATAGCTAGTACAATGGTGAGCAAAACCAAGAGCCTGCTGAGCAGGAAAAGCTTTGTGTGAAACTCTGGGCCCACACAGACATGTGTTTCCCATCTGGGAGGAGATCTCCAGGATCTGGTAATCATAAACAAATGTACAGTATCGCCAAACTTGAAAAGTATACAGTCAGACACTATGACACTGACAAAAGGCAGTGATGCATTTGGAGTTCTTATTCAGCTCTTGGTATCCTTTGGTTTTATTTTCACTTCTTCTACCCAGCTATCACGTATAGAGTTACTGAAGAAGGGGAGAGGGTAAATGAAAGCTGTGCTCTTTGTGCAGTAACTTCGGTTCAGAAACCAGAGCTTTAAATGAAACAACCACAACTGATATAGATGATGTATTGGTTAGAAAGAAAAAAAAAATTACAGAGAAATACCAATTCTTAGTAATTTACCCTGAGTACCAAACTGTGGGTCAACTCTAGCTGAAAGGATGTAAGAACCTGCAAGTTCCGCAGCTTTTTTTTTTTTGCTGTCAGTAAAATGTTACCAGCTGATGGTAAGGAATTACTGTTTAAAAACAAAAAACAAAATAAAAGCAGCAGAAGTTTGTACTTCATGTAGGTATCCTGGAGTTTTTTGATAATCAATTTTCAGCTTCAGTTAAGTTTATTACAAACATTGTTCTATGAAGGGGCGGTTCCTATGGCATCTATGAACCACCATGATTTCTAGCATCAGAATTGTGCAGTACAATAGGAAGGAAGGAGGTAGTTCCATAGTGACTTTTAAACTGGAAGCGCAGACTGCTGACAGGCTTCCTTTCCATGGCCAGCGCCGTGTTCCCTCCCTCTGGGAGCATTAGTAGGATTATGGAAGATGACGTTTCTTCCAGGGCCCCTATTTCGTGGGATAGTGTTAAGAACCAGAATGACACGAGACGGATTTAATACTTTCTATATTCTCTGCAGCTTAAATATTACAAAGTTCTGCCTCGTGCCCACTTTTGCAAAATGGCCAGTCTTTCAGGCTTAGTTACTAAATTTGTAACTGTGTAAATAGGATTGCTTTATGCCCTCACTGCAGTGTATAGAATTCCCGCTAATAGCAATAGAAACTGTCGGGATTTAGCTGGGAATACTGGTTAGCCCTGTGTTTCTAATGCAGTTGTAAATATGCTTCTTTTTCGTGTCCTCTTTCTAACAACAACTCGGACAACGCAGAGGTCGTGTTGCAAGGGTAGGCTGTAGTGACTGCTGTGTGAACCTATGCAGAATTTGCTTCAGAAGGCTCTAGCAGTAGATAAAATTAATTTGTTATGGGCTTCGGAGTTCCTGTTATGACATTATCTCTGTGATATATGGAGCATGCTGGTTATTTTCAGCTCCATTGTAGTGGAAGGATGTTTTGACTAAATGGAAGGAACACTGTAAAATTAAGAGGAAAAAATGAAAAGCTCCATGCATAGGATAAAATACCGGTAGAGTATTTAATGTAACCTTGTGTGTGTTTGTAGTCTCTTCTCTCTTCCTTCTTCATCTTGCTTTCATGACTATTATTAAAACTCTCTTCAAATGTTTAGATCTCATGAAGTTTTAATGTCAAACTAGGATGAGATAATGGAATGTGTTCTTCTACCTCCCTAAAAGTTGTGTAGGAATTTCACAGTGCACCTGATCGGCTGAGGATCTTACACCTTATTTTTCTTCACAACCCCATGAAGACTTTTGCGAAGCTTTTCCTATAACTGTGTTTTGCTCAATTGAACCTGGCCTTTGGGTATGTTCATATCCCACTAGATTTCTCATGAATAGCGTTTTACCTACGGACATAAGCAGAATCTGTGAAATGCCTTCAAAGCAACAAGTTCATCTTTTTTTTTATCTGAACAGGATGGTGATGCTCTTCTCTAGAGACTAATAAGATATTTGTGTGCTGTGGCACAGTTTCTCTAATGATCTCAGAAGAAAACTGTTAGAACAGTATAACGTAAAAAGCTCTCTTCCCAAGAAGTCAAGTAGATGAGAAGTATGTTAAAATATTTTTTTTCTGAGTCCCATTAGATTTAAATGCATTTGGCAAGCTGAAATCTGAATTTGAGCTTATGTATAATAAATTGTGTTTGACCTGACTAGGGAAAATGCTATATATTGTTCTTGCTTTGATTTATTTTTTCTTTTCTCTCTGTCAAAAAAAAAAAAGAGTAAAACCATTGTACACAGTATACAGTCAGTGTGTGGCTGACTTGCATCTAGCACTCCTAGTAGTGCCAAAAGGGAATGTGGCTTTAATGACAGCGCGTGGAGTTCCCAGCTGCTGCCTGCACCAGTGTGTCGGGCTACTTGCATGAACTTGGACTGCTCAGTTGTTAGGTAAAGCTCATAAGAAAAACTCCTGCCATTTACTGTAGCTGAGTTCACAAGCACCAACTTGTCAACTTGTGGCAGTGTGATCACTCAAGAAGAGTTCCTTTATATAGGAGTATTTATTGGGATTTTCCACTAGTTTGTTTGCAGCTGCATGCCCAGCAATTCTGTACCTTAAATCTTTGTTGTGAGTCACTTAAGTTATCCGCTCGGTTGCTGAAGTATGATTGTTTTCTAGTCAGTAAAGTTAACAATAAGCTCTCATTTTCACAAGTAGACATGAAAAAGCCTTTAAAAGATGTTTGTATCAGAATTTTTATTTTTGCGTTGGAAATGAAACAAAGGGAATGAAAACAAAGCTAGGTTGTGGTCAGACTCGGGAGTTGTGCAGCTCAGTGGAAGGTTGGTGTGAGGAGATGCGAGTTTATTCTTCCTAAGCATCATCTTTAGTTAAGTACAATGACCTGTGCTTTAATGATAGTTGGGTGGGGTTTTTTAAATTTTCCTAAATAGACCATAGTCCTCTGCTTTTTATCTGTTGATATTTTGAGTAATGACTGGTCTCAGTGATACCTTTGCAAAATGGGCTAGAGTTTCATAACAGGAATATTGGACTATTTGAGACTAAAGCTCACCTGCTTTATTTCCATAGATTGATTGTTTATTTAGAGCTCTATTATGAAACTGAGATTGTAGCCATTTATGTTCCCAGTTGTAGTACATTCTGACTGACATAGGTTGGAAACATCTGTTCTGTGGGGTGATGGTTGTGTTCTTAACTGCATTTATCACTTTTATTATCTGGGAGTACTAAATTTTACACATTAGAGTACCTTGTTTTGGTAGGATACTTTGCTGTGCCTAGGTGGTTTTTTGAAAGCACATCGTGGTAGCGAAAATAGATCCAAGAAAAGTGCCCTGATCTTGGAGCAGAAGGTGGAGAGACTTGTATTGATCCCGGGCTCTGGAAGGGTATTCATTCCCGGGAATGAGACTGGTCCCTGTAAAGGTTGGTTCCTG